CAGACGAGACGAAAAACAGGCATGGTGTGGTGGTGAGCGCGTCAGCCACCGGAAAGGGTAGTAGCACGTTCGTATCCCACCGCGGTTACCTACGGTCCTGAGTTTTGCAAATACCTCAGCATCAATGTGGCTGTTTCAAACGTTACACGCAGCCCTAAAAAACCATAATAGACAGTAACTAAAAAGTTTTATGAAAGTAATCTAATGCGATCCCCAACAGATGAATCCCATTTCTAGTTGAAAAACTGTACAAATTAGACCTTCTGGTACCGACTGGTACAGGATGTACTTTCGACATGAAAAGAAATCGTTATCCGTTGACAATCAGCCGAAAAACGCCGTGAATTAAGGAAGACCGTAGAGTGAGGTTATTTTAATCGAGCGATGGTCCACTGCATTCTTATCGGTACAGCCAAGAAGAACCACGTTGGAAGAATGAATTACTATGGACAATCGACTTGGATCAATTGGCTTTGAAGGAAACGATGACGTCGAAAGGCTCAAGCAGTGAAGTTTAATAACAACATTGTGTTCTCTTGTTCATCTGAAAGAAGGGCCATCCTTTTGAGTAGAAAAATTAAGCGAGATCTGGCACTTTTGGGTGAAGAACTTCTAAATAAGTGAAGAATCTCCTAGGTCGTATATAATTTGCTGCTTTGATCTTTAACTTTTAAAATGTCCTCTTTTCAACCATTTGGAATATGTGATATTCGCAGACGATGTGGTCAATACTAATCATCGCTCACAATCGCACTATTAACAAATCTGAAAGATTTGCATAAGGTGCTATGTGTGTTTCCTTTTCTATTTAATGACATGATTTTTTATCCTTAAAAGAGAAGTTCATATAAAGTGGCCCAACTCTTACTCAGAAGCTGTGCTTTTTGGTAATTTTCTCCTAAAACAAATCCTTTACCAGTAAAACTATTCGGCGATTCTTAACATTTTTGTTTGCAGCCTATTCTTTTTAATGGAAGGGCATTTGCGATATATAACTACTATAATTGACCGAGGTTCAAGGAAAGTCGCTTTCGAAATGTTACTACGCTTTGTGCTAGCTGATAACAGCACCGACTTCAGCACGATGTGCGCGATGATTATGTCCGGAGGAGAAACAAGTTGTTATCACCGGACATTATCATTATATCCACCATCAGCATCGTGTATAAAAGGACATCACTGAGTGAGGATGCCTCATTCGAGAAGATGGCTCACTGAGGAAGATCTGGCTCGACACGAAGGCGAAGACGCAACTTCGGGGCGAACAACAAGCATGGACCATCGACTCGCATCACCGGCTCTGAGGAAGACGAAGACGTCGAAACGTTAGCCGAAAATAAACAACATTATCAAACTCGTATAAGCTTATCAAAGAAGGAATACATAACTACTATAATGCTGAGATATTTCCAAAACTCCAGACCGCAGGTGTCTGCGGTGGGGAACGAACGCGCTATTGTTCCTTCTGGGGTGTAACGCGTTCACCACCACACCATGCGGGTCCTTCGTTCCAATCCCGTTGACGGGTTATTGCTGATGGCAAAAGATCGATAGAACTAGCTGAGAGACAGGCGAAACGAAGGACACGCATGGTGTGGTGGCGAACGCGTTACTCCCCAGAAGGAACAATAGCGCGTTCGTTCCCCACCGCAGTCACCTGGGGTCCGAAGATTTGCAGATATCTCAGCATTATAGTAGTTATATTCGGCGACTGTTATTCAGTAGATAAATGCTCGTATAAAAGTTTTGGAACCAAGAAACGAAATCTTTTCAGGTTTGAAAACCTAAAGAGTATTTCTGTAATTATGTTTACCAAAGGGCGCGTGTGGCGCAGTGGTTGCAGGCGCCACTGCTGCGCACACGTTGAATCGATCCGCGCGCCCATGGCCCGCCCAGCCCTTCCTCCCTCCGGGGTCGGCAAATTGCTACCAGGCTTGTCTGGAAGCAACAGCACTGGCTTGACGCATCGGTAGGCCACCGCGAGTTATTGTAAAGGCCAGATATTCATTCAATCACCTCGAAACGATGCTTAATGAAGTCGAATACACGGCTCATCCCGACGGCTTTATCCTTTCTATCCTTTTATGTTTACGAAGAGCTGAGATGGGCTGTAGTAAAATTTAATTCTAAAGAATTTGTGCGTTTATCACAAATGTTCTTCTACCCACCAAATCGACATTTAATACTAGTTCCTAGCGTCTGCAAACGATAATAAAAAATAATGAACAGTAAAAAAAAATATGTACCTATTATTTCATGATATCCTTCTATTTAGAGGCTTGCTAATTTCAACAAAATAAGAGCGTTTTTCCGTCAACGACGTCACATGTTCTCTCTTGTGAACGCTGCGTGACTCGAGCGAGAATCGGTAAGATCTTGAGCAGTTCTTCGCCTGTGTGGCAACAGTCCGGTAGGTTCCGCACGAGTGGAAACGTAAAAGTTTCATTTATTGTTTCTAGGATTTCTGAGAATAGGCATGAGCATCCGGTTTTGATCACGTGTGCATCATATTTTGTGAAATTCAGTGATTAACGTCCCCTTCTCCGTGTGCTGTAACTAGAATGAATCGCGTCTCCGACCGGCCAAATCTTTAACATTTTGTGACGTCCCTGCTCGCTGATCATTGACGTAGGCAGAAATTTCGCAGCTCATCTCTTATTTTTGTTTTGTGGGATGCTCTTAAGTATTATTACTCTCTTGACTGAGCGTTCAATAATGCTGACCTCTCTTCCACCCTGCTTACGTAACGTGGACGATTCGGCAACAAGAGTTGAGCGAAGAGTAGTAGCACTGTTGAAAAGGTGGGTGTAAAGGCTGGTGCTCCTTGCCCTCTTCATTACTTTGTTGATAGCTTTGTGCTTTCTTGGTAATCACTGAGCACCTTTCGCTTTGAGAAGCGTGCAATCTTGAGCCAGGGAGTTGATGAAGTGTGATAGTAGTCTTCATATGGTTTCTTCTTAATTCTTTATGGTGTGGATCTTGTACGTTTTTTTCAACTAGAAATTTTAAATCGGGAGAAAAACCGGTGAAATATCTCATGTATCCATTTTAAAAGGAAGTGAAAGTGTTAAAACGGACGCGGTTGTTGAAGAGTTCGAAGTAAAAAATTATGGGTGGTTTTTCCACTTTCTAGAAGAAATCAATCTTCTGTCTGGACTTTTGAGGGAAACTGTATTCACAAATTCTCGAAGGGTGTTGTTGGTACACTTCCTAATCTTTGCAGTTTCAGCCGGTGTTACTTTGACATGGACAATAGGAAGGTGTCTTCTTGAGCTATTTTTCTACTGATTCTCGAAGTGTTTTGAAGATGCTCAACGTAGATTTTCCGACGTGATTTCCTGTTGCTTGTTTTTGATAGAGACGTACGACTTCAACTGCTCTTTCAGACAGACTTTTTGTTTGCGAATTTTAGACTTCTAACTTTTCAACTGTATCAAAATGTGTTGGATAAGCTTTCATCGATGCTATTCATAACACTATCTTCGCAAAAGCTTGCCAGTGGCTTTTGTTTACAATACAACGGTTAGTAAGTGACATTTTTCTGGATGATTATGCTTTGACTTCCACTTATAACGTCATGAGTTTTCAAATAAAAAAATCGTCTTTTCTACAGTAAAATGAAATTTCTTGCCTTAAATCACACTAAAGCGTAAATTTCAAATCAGTAGTCTTGTATGAATTCCATATTTCTTTTGCTGTACCATTTAAATTGTATTTTTTAACATTAGATTACGCATTAAGGTAAACAACAACAGTTTAAAAACGGCCGAGAAAAAAGCAAACCGAGATCCTCAATGATGCAGTGGATAACACCTGAGCTACCGGAAAGGGTAGTAGCGGATTCCAATGTGTTCTAGTGGTCGAAACTTTGCAAATATCTTAGCATCGTAGTGGTTGCATTTCACATCGTACCCTGCGGTGACAAAAATGACAATGGGCAGTAAATGAAATGTAAAGTAACAATTTATTTTATCAGAACATTCTCTTAACCCATTATTTCCTGACACGGTCTAAACAATATTTGATATGTCACATCCTCAATCGGTGGGACAATCTATGTTTTCACTAATCGCAGAAATCGCTAGCTTGTCGGAAAAATTCTAGTTGCAATGCGGTGAACATCCTACTGATGGACGACGGTCGGTCGGCGACTACATGGTACGCGATAGCACGGTTATGGCAGATTTCTAGGACAAATCACGCTTGGCCATTACTTGCTATGTTAGTGATAGTAAAAATGACAAATTCTCAAGCATCACTCTAGCTTTAGCTGCATTAACCGATTTCTTCCATGGATGTGGTCAACGGAATGAATCGGAAAAATGCTGAATTCTGCACAGCAGGAAAGTGCACACCATCTGCTTCCCTATACACGTAGAAACCGTAGAAGCACAACTTGAAGTCGTTAGCTCGTTTTACCGTGATGATATTGAGACTTGAAAATTTGACAACAATTTGAACATTCGACAATCGCCCTCATATGGATTTCCGTCACAACGCTATCGCCACTTACTACAGTTTCCTCAGTTCAACTGAGCATGTCTTCGTTAGTGAGTTGCGTACTGTTAGAAAAGTGCAGAGAATGCACTTCTTCGTTTCACATAAAGTTCTTAATGTGTTTTTTAATTTTCTCACAACAAACTTGCTGTGTATATACAAATTTCAGTTAGAATAATAATGTAACACTTCTCGCCTAGTGCTACTTGAATGAAGTCAGTATTACTCATTTCTTCTGAGCAGCTTCCACTTTGTTCATGGATTGTTTCTAATTTTTTATACAGTTTAGCAGTCGAGAATACGCAGCCGCTATTTATTCTGTCAAGCTGAATATTAGATAAAGAACACTTATAGATAAAATTATGGCAAATGTTAAGGAAATGTGAGCAGCTGTGGCAAACTAATTGCCAGTGGTTTCAAGGATGCTTCTCTACGTGTTCCTTATTTACAAACAAATACACCAATTCAACAACCTAGTAATAAGCAGAGACAGTGTCTACTTATTAAAACATTAGATGTGTTTTACTTTTACCGGCGGAAATTTTAATCTGACCGCTCTTTTGCACGCCAAGTTTTCGTCTCACGATGTACCTAAAAAGAAGCCATCGGTAGTCTTCAAATGCAAAAGCTCTTATTGGTAATGGTTTATTTCGTATAATTATCGTTTCACAAAGATCTAGGCCTATGTGTCTTTGTCATGAAATATAGTGCCTACAGTACTCCAAGCAAATTTTTGATAAACTCTGGTTGTACCATATAAAAAAATGAAGATTTACGTCTTAAACTAGTACTTACACCTTAAACTTTGTTAGAAATTTTGGTTTATGAATTAATGAGCATATGTGATTTAGGCTTCAATACAAGCACTATGGTTTTCTACTGGAATAAGGAGGAAATAAACATATCACTTGATAGCACTGTGCAGTAGCAGAGATAGCGTTTAATGACGAGAGCGAGTGTTTAGGTTCGACCTTGCAGCAGCCTAAGCAAGCTCTCACCTCCTCGTTAATTGGTGATAGAGTTGTCTGGGAAGCTCCCATCTTACAATAAGCACCTGTGAACGCTCTAGCTCAGTTTTCCCACCATTCAAGGAATAACCTACTCAACCCGTATTTGACGCTACATTCTTAATAAAGAAATGTTTATGGGACTTGTGCGTGAATAAGCACTGTTAACTATCAGAGAAGATAAACGAAAGACTAAGCAAAGTCCAAGAAATTTTTTGGGCCAATAAATAAATTTTCTAATGTTTTTACCGAGGTTATACCAAAGCACTTATAGAAACTATTTTTTCTAGAACCTTGTTAAAGAGTTCCATATGAACATAATGAAACGAGTCACCAAAATTTCGAAGCAAAGTATCTCCTAAAAGAAGAATCTAGACATAACGTCAAGAATGCACCCACCATTCTACCATCAATGCCACTACCACCAAGATGAAACAGATAGCGAACGCATAACGAGCCCATCTGAATTTTTCTTCTAGTTTATCATATACTTCCATGTCTATTCTTCTGACAGTTGGTTTTTTATTGAATTTGATGATATCTTACTTTGGAACGGAATGATCTCTGGTTTCGCCATTCAACACATACAATTCCCTCAGTGCATACCCGATATCGTCCACTATGTCTTCAATCGTTTCTTGAAGTGGCCATCCTGAAATGACTGCAATTTAGTGAAGACACTATTGACAGCGCAAAATTTCAAGAAACCTTAGTTTATGGATAAGAAAGACTTCCTTGTACCCATTAGTGCATATTTCTAAGACCATATTATTTTAGTAGAGCTCCATGTCATCCTTCAATAAATTTAATAAATTACTCATCAAGAGAAAAGAGGACAGAATACTTTCTGCCGGCCAAGGAAGATGAATTGCCATGGGAACATAGCTCGAAAATTTCATTTCAGTCCTATAAGCTGCTCGTGGCCACGTAACAATGGTGATGACGAAAATTACGAGATGTGCTCTCGTCGAACAATATTGAGCCTCTGCTTCAGCTAAGCCAACGTTTTAATCTCGATTCTGTAAGATCCATAGGTTTACCAAAACGTGTGATTTGAAGTATTTTATTTTATTCCATTTTAAAAAGTAAATTTTAATTTTTTATGCAACTTAAACCAAAGCATTTTTAGTACCAACTATGCACAGAAGTTGCATCACTGAAGTTATGAAATATACTAGGTAATAGAGAACGTTAAGCCACTCAAGCTCGTATGTTGGTCAATTATTTGTCAAATACCTTTTAGCTACTAGTTTTATAAAATTCTAGCAAGTAAACACAGAGAAACCGTTTAGTTCCATTGTATTACTTACTCATAACGTTCATAACTCAATGCTCAAATTTTCGGATCATTCATTTACTTCACATAATTCGACTTCACATCTACCGTGCGGATTTCAGCACTTCTTTCATTCGATTCGTTTCCTCACATCCATCGTCCACGAGAAGCTTCTGATTTATTTGTGGATTCGGTTGTTTCTCGAGAATTTTGGGCTTTTTTACTGAGTGGTCTTGAGTAGTGTCAGAGCAAAATCTTCCAGGGCAGCTGCACTGGAGCTTTCTCAGGCTCCTAACACGAGTTCCTCAAGCTCTGTACATAGGAGAGAGTTCTTGAAACACAAGTATGGTATCAATTTTTCGACGACAAAGAATTTGGAGGTCTGTTTAGCTCAGAGCAGATTCCAAGTAGGGTATTGCATGCAACACTGGACGGCAATTCGGCCACTACGCAAACCGTATCATTCTTTTTGGACTGAAGAAATTTGTTTCTGATGATTTTTAGAACCATTGGCTTTCTTTGGATTCGCACTTCATTGACGCTGAACCGAAAATTTTAAGGACTTCGAAATGATTAATTAGTTTTTGTTATGCATTACATACAACGTATACCAGCACATAAGTAAAAAATTCATCTCAAAATCCAGCTCAGATATGCGGGATATTTCTGTCTTTAAATTATTATGTCAACAAGCTACCAGTTTTCTCTAGAAAAATTCAATGAAATAATGTGGAAAAAGTAGTGACCATGTAGGAAAATACCAAAGCAAAAAGAATAACTGGTGAATTGAATATATTCAGTACAAACGCCGATATCACTGACCTTGTGCTAGTGCATTATTTGCTTCACTGGCGATGTTTCCAAGTGCAAAGCGTATCTGTGCCTCTCCTGATTAAAGAAAAAATACTGATAAATAGATGAAAGCAAAATAACCACGACACGTGAAAGTGATCGATATGAATGTTAATCAACATACCGGTATGAATTCCTACATAAGGAATTTTCCGAACATCATTTATCAGACCATCTAACACCATTAACGCCAACACATTTGCTTGTGTGCACGAATTATCGATGGGAAACCAGCGTTCATACAACTTCCACACGTAAATCTGAAATGTGAAGAACTAAACTGAAAACAAAATACGATTCGCGCTCTCTAAAAACCTCAAATTTCTCCCACGATGGTATATTGGCCCAGGACTAGCCTGTGAATAGCTCCTTCTGACCTACAATTGGCGACGACTTTTAGTAGAGAAAAACTGAGTACTTTCTAGCACAGCTACTCCAGAATTCTAGAACGCATAGGCTTGATTGTCATTCAAGGACATTCAACAAGGAAAACAATTCTCAAACGGACCGTCGTTTAATATCGGTAGCAAGATAACCAACTTGTATCTAAATTGTTGAGCTTACATGAGGTTGGTAATAAATAAAAGATAAAGGATAAAGCTCTAGGCACTGATCAATCCCTGAGAGATTCGTCACACCTTCGGCTTTATTAAGCGTCGCTGGAAGTCATTCAATGCATATCTGGCCTTTACAACGACTCGCGGTGGAGGACCAATATATCGAGCCAGCGCTGATATCCTTCCAGACAAGTGTGGTACTAATTTGTCGACCCCGGAGAGATGGAAGGCTTGGTGAGCCATGGACACGGAGATCGATCCCATCTGTGCATTAGAGGGCGCCTACGATCACTACGCCGCACGTGCTACTGATAATAAATAAATAAACAAATAAATAGATATCATTTATCAACTTTGTGTACTCGGCAGTTTAAATACATGTTCAGTCACTAAGAAAGTCAAAATTCTAAAGCAGCAGCAAAATAAACACATGCACAAACCTGAGGCATCTTACGGGTAGTAGTTGTGAGCAAGCGAATCAAACGAAAGAAATGCTGGGTTCTGCACAATACACAACACATGGTATTGGATCTCTTTGAAAAAATAAATAAAGAAAAGAGATAACATTTTTGACAGTAGATGAAGCACATGTCATAATAACCCAGGAACTGTTAGTGACAGTTAAGGTCGATAACGAAAGTAACAATCGAGCAGGATAATTTTTGAGATTATGTCGCAGCAAATCTGTTTTATGACATGTCCTCTACGATGTTAACACCTTAATCAGTAAAATGAACTCCAAATTAATCCTCTTCATTCCTTTTCAAAATATAATTTTTGATCGTTTGCTACTGAGACGATCTATCAATTGAGAGATTCGGACTATTAAACAACGAAGAAAATAACCATAGTGAACATTATTATTTAAAAACGTTGAAATCCAGAATGTGAAAATGTGAAAACTTAATAATTACAGGAATTTCTCAGTTGTTCCAGTAGCAGTTTCCAAAAAAATCCAACAAAGTAATCTAAACAAATTAAAGGTTAACGCATTCAGCGTTTATAAACGAGTTTCCCTAAAGATGCACAGCGCCTCCAAATCTATACGTAATCTCGCAAGGGTTATTCAGTGCGTATTTGGCAATATGCTGTGATTCGCGCCAACCTATCGATATATTAATTTAGTATATATATATATATATATATATATATATATATATAACTAAGCCTCAACTTAACTGGGTTCAATACCGATTTAAGCTCCCCAGATCAATCCCGCTGACGGGTGATTGCTGATGGCAAAAGATCAATAGAACTAACTGAGAGACAGGCAAAACGAAGGCCGCGGATGGTGTGGTGGTGAAGTGCACTGCTCCTCGATAAGGACAACAGAGCGTGTTCGTTCTCCACCCCATACACCTGCTGTCCGGAGTTTTGCAAATATCTCAGCATTATATACGAGTTATTAATTTAGTGTTTTTTTCTCCAAGACAACTTTTTTACAAAGTTGCTGACCCCAGAGAGATAGAAGATTTGTTTAGCATAGGAGTGCAGTATGCAACCAGCCACTTTGCGGATACTGCTGGGCACTCTAACCACTACACTACACTGCTTCAAAGCAAACAAAATAAAGAAATAATATGAATTTGTCTCAAATACAATGATCTCTATATTGCGACAATGTTGACGACGTTGTTTAATGGTGTTTACGCTGTTCTGTTATTCAATTGTGCATTCCTTTCTCTTTGGGTGTAATTTTTATCCCGCTTGCAAGAACTGCACCTTTTACAAATCCATCTCGTGCAAAAAATGTGAATCTGAAGTTCATGGATAGTTATTTCACATTTTTCTTAATAAATTACTTTTCAATGCCAATATTTCCTACTAATTTCTCAGATCGTCACAAGGCTACATCAAGTTTACTACTGATGGAAATAATGCCAAATAAAAACGCCAACATCCGAATGTGTTTGATTCAAACTAACAGTTACTAGAAGCGAACTCTGACATCAACCCAAAAAGCATAGTTTTTAGTAATTAACTAACTGTTAAGTAGTTTGCGAATCCTTACACTCTCAGTGTGTATTCTCTATGACCCATTTGTCATTATTTATAATGAAACGTAAAAATTTGTTTTTAAAAGTAGCATTCAGCGTGTAGAATTGTTCAGTTCTAGAAAGAAACCTATTAAGATGTCAGACAATGAGCAGAGAGGTTCACTAAAGCATTCATAGAATCGTTGAGGTGCATCTGTGCACTACATGCAAATTTCGCCTACACAACGACTTGTGTGGTCTTGGCATATCAATTCAGTGTTTTTCGCCTCCTAGACATGTCTGTGCCATTTTGCCGGCCTCAGAATGATAGGTAGCATCGTTTGTCTTGGAACGATAGCAAATCAAAGATATGTTTTTATTGCAAGGCACCCCAACCATTATGCTATATGCGTTATTATCCTGTTAACACCTCCTTTTCATAGATCATACCTTATTTTCACGCTTTATAATGTATGATTCAAAGAGTGAGTTACATCTAAGTTTTAAACGGAAGGCTTTTTATTACCAATGAGAAAAAGCAAGGGTTTTGTGGGCGCGTGGTCTTGACTCTCTTTTATTGCAATTAATACGGACATTTGTTTTCATCGTTTCGTGCGCATGTATACCAACTTATTAATAATTAATGAAATTGGCCTCATGTGACTATAACTTTGTTGTTTCAGGACGAGTGAAGCTCATTTTTTAGAGGTGCTGTTCAGTAGTGCCTGTAAGCTAGTTGTTTCGACTCCATCCAGAGCCAAACAGTGCGCTCAATATTGCCGGTCTGGAGACGTGGCAATAGATTTGCCTGTAAAAAGCTGCTTCTGATCCAGAAGAGTTGGCCCTACCTCTGCTGAAGACAAGGAGAAATCTCGTAGTACAGAAGTTGACTCTATTTGACCAGCATTCAACGACATTCAATGAAAGTGACTAAATGCTGAAGCAGCAGTCGAAGGTACACCCACATTAGACAACGTTCATGGATTATGGATACGAGGAACGGATCGAATGGATAATTCGTGCATTATGAGAAATCAGGTCATGTAAAAAAATAATAAAGCAAGTTAGAGTGAACAGATGGACAAGAGAAGAATGGAAGTGAATGAAGACTAAAATATGACTTAGCTATAAAATCATAGGAACGTTCATGTTATTAGTGTTCAGTATTATTATTAGAATTACTAAATTCTTCTCGATCTATGTTGCCCATGCCTAATCTTCACATTTTTAGTAGCAGCCTTGAAAAACGCTTCTCTTCTCTGTGAAGTGTACGATTTGTACTACATCACGAATTCAGTCATTGGTTATAAGCAGTCTGTACTGCATACTAAAACTGGTCGCTGTTTATAAGAATTCTGCCGAATATTCCGGAAGTAATCGAACCATATTAGGCCCAAAAAATAAGTGCGCTAGCTTGTAGTTTCACAACACCGTTTAAATTGCTTGGCTGTGGTGATCAACGAGAAGAAGCGTGAAACATGAAATAACTATTTACGAAAATTTGAGATAGGGTCAACTTTCATTACCAAACAACTTGGCTTTTTTCTCGTAACATAACGCATTGCAGTAAACGTTGTTGTGGTGCGAAAGTCACCAAAAGCTAAAAACAGGTGAAAAAAGCTTATGAATCAGAAAAATTGATGCTGCCAGTAATACTGGTTTAACAATGCACTATTTCACTAAAACTTGCCAATAGCGGTTTTTTTTTGTTTGAGTAACACAGCACGTAATAACGTTTTGAATCAGTTTCAGGGATACGTCAGTGACAAACATCGGCTTCAGGAAAGTAATTCTTTGTAGGCTATAGCTCACCATTAGTCTACAATCTAAAGGACGATTTCCATTGAAAACACTTCTAGTCTACTTTCAGGTAAACGCGAAAAATCATGGCATCTTCTATCGTAGTTGCAATACTGTAGTTACAGAGTAAGTATTGAGTCAGTGGAGCTGCAGGTAAAAAAAGTGGAGGATGTGATGTTGTAGAGGATAGCAGCACTCATATTGATTTCCAAGACAACCGCTCTCCTCTCCCATCAAAGTTCCCATAAATTACGTCCAGCACGCCTACACTTGGATGCATCTAGCTCATTGACACAGCTCAGAAACAACAAACGACTGCAGCGCGCGCTATTAGGCCGCTATTGGCTGCGACTGTATGCGACACGAGAACTCAGATCGCTGAGACTGTTCCATAGGCCGAAAGCACTGCGAACTGAACAAAGCACGAAGTCTAAGTAATGCTAACGCTACCTGGAAAAACCCATTTAACTCTTGCGAGATAGTTTTTAATTAAGTCGGAAGGTTTCATCTATTGGTGGGGTCAGTTCGACTAAAAATTCCCTGAATCACCTGTGATCCTAGTAGACAGTGTTGCCTGTAGCCTTCTTTTTTATATTTTAGAGCTTTTATGGGTATCTCTCCATTCTTGTAATTTGAAGGATACCACACTTTTCGGATGATGCCCTTCATTAGCAGTGTTCTATGATCACCTTATTGGGGTTCCGCTATTGGTGACGCCATTTAAGCAAAGGTGTTTTTTTTATCCTGGATGTATCTAGTTTTCGAAGATAACTTTTAAACCGTCTCCCATGTACGTCTGACTCAATAACTGGGTGCAAGGAGGGTGGGGGTGGTGCATTGGTAGTGATGCCGATCCTCACGGGCGTGGTGCCGGTTCCACAGCAACGAGCCCATCAAGTCTCTTATCCCGGAAAATTGGTACCGGACTTGTTCTGAAAAAGCCACTCTCTGCGATCCAAGTGGGAGCGCTCCAGAACGGCTATCTCAGGCCTTCACGGAGAATCGACTTGATCAGCATTCAACCACATTTGTGACGGAGAGAAAAACTCTAAAGCAATGGCCAAAGCCACGAGCAAATAGTTAGAAATTCTAGGTAGATGACAGATGCTGGGAAATGAATGAAAAAACTGCTCAGACAGGTTTTGACAGAGTTGATGTGTAGAAAATGGCTCGCAGAAAAAAGCGATTTCTAGCTATTTAAAGGCAAGCTCTATGTATGTGCTCTAAAAATTTATGTTTTCTGTAAATAGATAATATCCTCAAAGCAAAACTTTGCCAACCTTACTGCGAAGACGACTTTTGTTTATTTTTTTTTTTTAGCGTGAGGTGAATTTGACATAGACAACTTAAGTAGTTGGACTCTAGCACTTGGCAAGGTTGGCTAGGCTGAAGCTCGAAGGTGTACATCGCCGTTCCACGCAATGAACAGCAAGGTCTCGTCTAGTTGTAACGCAAGTTGCTTGGTCATTTTTTATTTGACTGTTATTAATTATAGCTCTAGGAAATAGGTGTTGCCAAGACCTGCAGCGTTCGAGATTGCACACCGTAAACAAATAAAGTAGAAATTTAGTAATGTTTTCCTTTTCTTCTGAGAATGTGTATAATACTTGGCATCGGAACCTCCAGAGAACCTAAAGCTTTTTTGATAGACAAACATACTTTGACTTATTAATATAAAAATGATATATATATAAGTATATTCTAAGGTTCTGGTCCCGAAGCAAATCACGAACTCTCAACCCTACGGTGTACAAGGATGGAGTGATAGTTTCTGTACTGGTCTTAATCACCAAACTATTCAAGCACTCTATCTAAACTGTAAAAAGAAGCATCGATGCCTTTTCTTTAAAGTATTCCAAGACGACAATGTTAAGGTACCAATGTTGTGGTTGCACTGAAATCCAACGAATGCCGATGCCTTGAACTCAAGAGCATCATATCGCAAACAGCTCTGCAAGTTCTCTATATGAGCAGGAATTAG